TGTGTGTGTGTGTGTGTGTGTGTGTGTGTGTGTGTGTGTGTGTGTGTGTGTGTGTGTGTGTGTGTGTGTGTGTGTGTGTGTGTGTGTGTGTGTGTCTCAACATGCATGCTGGGGGCGTTTGTTGGGGTTGGTCGGGACCTTTCCGGGCCACTAGACGTCAACAACCGGCCAAAAGGCAGCATGCCAACGGAGTGGCTCCATTCCCTGAACACCAGGCTGGAATGTACAGCCCCGGACATCGCCAGGGCCCACAGGGAGCTGGGTGGGAAAAAAAAGCGCGCGCAGATCCCGGTGCCGGTCCCCGGGTGTCCCTCCGTCCTCCGGCCGCCAGCGGGGGCCCCCTCTCCATCATGCGTCCCGGATGACTTTTCTCCCTTTCCTTGCGCTACGCCCTCCTTGCGTGTCCGGGTTCCCCCTCAGAGGCAGATCGACCTCTGACATGCGCCCCCTCTCCCGAAACGCCCAGCTCAGGCCAAGCACATCTACATCCACACGCACACACACACACACACACATAGACATACACATACACCAGCACCGGAAGAGAGAAATCATTTTTCGTATTTAGAAGTACAAGAAGAGGCATGTTCTCCCGTCTGCCAGGGAAGAGGGATATGAGATGAAAAGGGGGGAGAGTGGCGAGAAGAGGGGCAACTGTGTGACGCACGTGCGATACACCACACCTACAAGAACCGGCTTCTGAGCCTGGGGAAGGGGATGAATCCCGCTTCCGCACCGCTGTGTGACGGAGCAGAAGAAGAAGAAGAAGAAGAAGAAGAAGAAGGGAAGAAGAAGAGGAGGGAAATCGGCCTATGCAGATTTGCAACACGCACAGGGAAAGAAGGCACGTGGCGGGAGGAGGGGGGGACCCTCCCCTGTTGACAGATGAAAGGAGAGGAGGAACGAAGGGAGGGGGAGAGGGAGAGAAAGAGACATCATGTGTGCACGTGTGCGCACAAATCCACACACGCGCAGACCGACGTGAGCACATAGGGCGCTAAAAACTTCACCCCTGGCACCCCTCTCTGTGCCCCTTCCCTGACGGAGGAAGACAACACCACAAAACGAAGGGGAGGGAGGCAGGGAGGGCCTGGCTGAGAGGGCTGCGCGTGCGCGCGCACGCGCACGGGGACACGCTTTCTGGCCGCGTCGTCCGGGGGACACGCCACGAGTGTACCGTATTCTGGGGGGGAGGGG